GAGACATGGCCCGGGCTTCGTGCATGTGAAACTTTTGGTTTGCGAAGGCAACTTTTCCCAAGCCATTCCAGGAATACGAAGCTCGAACAAAAAAAACTAGATTCGTCATGCCCGAAGATCTCACAAACTACCTCGCCTCGCGATATCTCGTTGCAGACACCAAGCCCAGCAAGAAGCGCAAGCGCAAGCAGGCACCAGCCGCGTCCGGGCTGCTCATCACCGACGACGACGATGCATCATGGGGCAGCAAATCAGGCGCCGCCCAAGACGACGACGCCGACGGCCCCGTAACCGTGACAGGGAGATCCTCAGAGTTTCGCAAAGCCAAGAAGAGCAACTGGAAGACAGTGGGCGATAATGGTGAAGCAAGCAAGGACGATAGCGCAGCGGCCGATGCCATTCTCGCCGCCGCTGCGGCAGAACAGGACGCCGCGCGCGAAAAGGAAGACGAGATGCCTGTGGTGGATGACTCAGGCGTGGTCAAGATGAGCGACGGGACACACGCAGGGCTGCAGAGCGGCGCCGCCGTCTCAGCACAGCTCAAGCGGCGGCAGCGCGAGGAGCGAGAAGAGTTCGAGCGCCATCAGAAGAACGGGAAGGAGGCGGAAACAGTCTACCGTGACGCGACGGGCCGAAGAATAGACATCTCCATGAAGCGTGCAGAGGCGCGTCGAGCAGCCGCGGAAGCCGAGGAGAAGGAACGTCAGGCCTTGGAAGACTTGAAGGGTGACGTCCAGCTAGAGGCAGCAAGAAAGAGGAGGGAGCAGCTGGAGGACGCAAAGACCATGGCTTTCGCAAGGAGGGCCGACGATAAGGAGATGAACGACGAGCTCAAGGAGCAGGAAAGGTGGAACGATCCCATGATGCAATTCATGACGGAAAAAAAGAGCACCAAGCCCAAGGGCAAGTCAAAACACCGGCCCATTTACCAAGGGGGCGCACCCCCAAACCGATACGGGATCAAGCCTGGTTACCGTTGGGATGGGGTGGACCGAAGCAATGGCTTCGAGGCCGAGAGATTCAGGGCAATCAATAGGCGTGAGATGAACAAGGGGCTGGAGTATTCATGGCAAATGGACGAATAGGCGGCGCAATATGGTATATGTTTTCATTGGAGATACCCTCAAGACACCCAAGTGTGTGTAATTATTATTTATTCCGCAATAGTTCCAGACTGCTTCCAACTCGGTTTCAAGAATGAGCTTCCTCAACGCTAGTAGATTATGTTTTCTGTTTTTTAAGTGATTCGCTATGACCTTTTTTCCCACAGGTCCTGGCTATGGGCAATCCTTCTGTCTAGAATCTTGCTGAAATCAACAACATTCGGGACTCTATTTCACAGCAGCTCAAGTAGGCAGTTCCAGATATCGTCAGACGATGGCTAGTCTGGGACTACCAACTTGACAGCACAGCTACCTATTTCTACGACGAAGTCGCTTGTCCGGCCCATAGTCGCATGTCACCTTGACTAGATCGATCCAGTCTTTCTTTAACATCTGGCCAGGCTTGTCTCCAATCCGCCCAAGGAATGGCTTGATCAGTTCGCCAATCGTAATTCCCTCGGGGGGAATCTTTTCCACAATTTCCCATGCCTCGATTCCCTTACCTGCTGATGACACAGGGGATGCACCTGAGAAGGCGCTGTTAGCACAGTTCAACAAGAGCTTCTTACTGATGTACTTACTTCCTTGTCCAGGGTTGGGACTACCCGCCCGAGACGCTGATGGGGATCCCTGGCCGCTTCCAATGACCTTGATCTTCTTCTTCTTGATCTTGGCACCAGCACCGTCAGACATCTCACCTGCGGTCGCCTCTCCGTCGCTACCGGAGCCAGCGCCACCGGTCTTCAGCTTGCGCATGTGCAGGGGTGTTCCCGCGCGACTTCCACCAGCCGGAGTGGCCGTCTTCTTGATCTTCTTCCTCGACGATTCGTTTCCACTAGATTCTGAAAGGGTCGGGGAGCCTGCTCTTTTCAGGCTTTTGCTCTTTGCCGGGTCAGGTTTCGGCTTGCCTTGTGCGCCGCTCTTGCCATCTTTGTCTTTGTCTTGATCCTTGCTGTCGTTCGTACCCTTTCCATCCGCTTGGTCTTCCTCCTCCTTTACTTCTTCCTCATCATCAGATGATTCGTCAGCAGACTAAGGTGTTACATGTTAGCCCTGTTTTTCGCCAGAATGTAGGAATAGCACTCACCGAACTATCCCAGGGGTTCTCCTCCGAGTTCTCACTCTCATAAACATCTTCCCTATCGCGCTTGATGAGAGCCTTCTTGGTAGTTTTGCCATACTTCTTCCTCTCCAACTCTTCCCGCAATTGATCCTTGAGTTCCTTGTCAACCTCCTGCTCATCGCCATCACCCCAAAGATTGGCACCAAGCTGCTCACGACGGATCCGATCTTTCGATTCCTTGGTATCTTCATCATCGTTCCTTTCGAAGTTGACATTATCATCGTCATCCTGGAACTCATCTCCAGATACATCCAATTCGTCATGTTCGAGCTTTTCTTGTCTCGTAGCATTCCTGAAAGTGGAACTCTCTGTCTTGACCATGGTACCTTTACCATATAGCATTCGGCGGGTGGCCTCCATGTCGGCAGCCTGTGCTTTCTGATCCTCGTTCTTCATCACCCATCGTCCAACGTCAACTTTACGATTCATGAAGGCCTCGGCCTGGTCGATCGTGAAGGGTTGGAAAGGAGGCTTGGACGAGAATTTGTACCACTTTTCCAAGGGTAGCATTCGAAAAACCTCTCCATCAATCCTGAAAGCAACCGTGCTCTCAGAGAGCGCAGCCACGTAGTTGCCCACCCACACATTCTTGCCATCCGCGTCCTCCAGATGCCAGGGAAGCGCTTCTTCGTATCTCAGGTCAGACTCCTTCTTGGCTGCCTCGGTCTTGTGTGTCCGGTGAAACATGGTCTTTTCCTCCTTTTGCTTCTTCTTCGGTTTTGGGTTAGGGTCTTTGGCTACTGGGGCGATCTTGGCCTGGTCAATCGCTCGCTGTGCTTCCTTATCCGCCTTCATTTGAATCATCCGCTCCCTTTCAGACTCGTCAACCTGAGGAGCCTCGGCCTCCTCAGTACGGACAGCTCGGCCAGCTGGCGGCTGTCGGGCATCTCGGCGTTGAAGCGTGACAGGGCGCGCAAACTCATTCTGGTCGGTTGGATCAACAGGCTTGTCATCCATCTTGGATTGGGCAAACTTCATGAGGTGAAAGCGCATCCCTTGCAAAAGCTCCTTCTTCGTCGTCATGATGGCGATGTCTTGGGCCCCATTAGGCTTTGGGTCCATCCAACCTTCATTGGTTATGCGTCGCTGCTCGAGACTCTGTCGCGCGCCATTCTGGGCATTCGATCTCGGAGCAGAAGGAGGGGGGGGAGCATTCGGTCCGCGTTTTGGGGCCACCATAGGGTTCGCTGGCTTCCTTCGCATAGGGCGCAATGGGTTCGCCTTCTGCATGGGAGGCCTTGGGGCGCCGTTTGGCCTTCCGGGCGGTGGAGCGCTCATTGTAGCGAAGCGATGGGGTGGATGTGCATATAGATATTGATATGGCTAGTCGGAGACTTTTTCAATGGCCGCAGGCGTGCTGGGACTGAGAGGCAGGTTGTTGAGTCGAAGCCTGGCGCGACACTACTATGTTGGGTCAACTTCACGGGGCTCGCGAGGCAGACCAGCAGCGCGGCGCAAAGCCCGGCAAGGTTTCTTTACGTCAGCAGAGTCAGAGGCTGGCACAGAAGTGCTCGACCGAAGTGCTCAATCAGGCAGCTGCAAAGGGGCCTCGAGTGCCGACAGAGGAGAGTACCCAGAGACGTGGACAAAGAAACGATGGATGGATGAACAAGCAGCAGCAGCGCCGACACTCGTCTAGCCCCAGAAATAGATATGACGGAGAAAGGCGTTGGGTGAGGCAGGGAGAATTAAAGTGGGGAGGAGCTACCTGGTCACTCATTAACCCGGCATACTGTATTGAGTACTTGGCGAACACGAGTCTTGAGGTAGCGCAGGTGCTTGCCCCCAATGCTGACCTTGTCACCGAGCATTATTCTTCTATTGTAGTTTTATCTTGAGGTATAAGCCCCCTCTTATCACAACTCTACTCAACTTGCCCCGTATAATGCTTAAAGGAGCAGAAGATATACGCTTTGCAGTAGCACATGATGCTTCATCTGTCGAGGTACCTACCGATGATCGAGAATAGGTACCGAGGTACATACTTGCCTACCCTAGATGGAGCTACCTAGGCACTGCAGTGATGTTTCGCCTGGCAGCGTAACGGTCAGCAGACAGCAGCTTGGCCATTGCTGTAGATGTGCAGGTAGAGCGCTGCCAACTCTCTTCCGATACGACTCGCAACTTGATGCTACATACTACCTTACGGGGGATGAGCAGCGCATTACATCAGTCGCAGGGATCCACCCCAGACGCACAAAAGCGACTCGCTCAATCTGACGAAAGTTCTCCTCCTGCTGCAGCTCAGTCTGCCCACTGGGTCAAAGAGGGGCACCATGCCTGATTAGGCTTTTCGGCTGGAACATAGCGAACACGCCTGTCGAATCAGCGTTCTACTGCCTTCTTTCAGAGCCACAACAACCTGAGATTCTCTGCCCATTCTCCCTCAGACAACAACACCATTACAATCAACCCATACGCCTGTCCGTCCATCAGATCGCGCATGCCGGATCCCCCGTTGCATCTCCTCCAAGAGTCTCACGGTGCTCCTTGGTCGCCGGATTCATGTAAGAGTACTTCAGAGCAACTATTACTCAAGCTACCAGCTTCCAATACAAGAGTCTGTGGAATATCTTTTCTCACACAGCATACGCCACCCCAAAGGGAAAAAAAAAGAAAAAAAAAGGGAAATAACCCACTTCATATTGCCTGCCGGGTAGGAAAATGTGATAAGACCAAATTCATCTACCAACAAGCAAAGTATCTTGAGTCCTCCCAACCTGTCAACTCACCAACAGCTCTCTGCCTCGTCAGCTCTGCTTCAAAACGTAACCATGGATACTTCCACGGCACGCTCAGGCCCAGGTCTCGAAGACCAATTGCGGAATCTGATCCTCACAAACGGACCACCAGGTAGCCAATCTACGGAAGAGTCCGCAGCCTCCCAGCCAACTGCCAGCCCAGGTGATGTGAATGAACACCATAAAGCCAAAAAGAGGCCGAACCAAGCACAGCGGCGTCAGATGAATGCCCAGTTCAATATCCCAATTGACCCCCGGGCCCCAGCATCTCCCGAAAGCCAGAGACATGGCCGTGGTCATTCCGGTCCAGGAGCTCAGAGGTGGCGTAACCAAGGTCAAGGCCCTGACCCCAGGCAAACAGACTCGCACCAGCATGGAAATGCAAGCCATTTTCATAACAACACCATGCCATCGAAGCCCTATGGGCATGGTCATGGCCCTCACAATAACCAGTCCTCTTCTGGCTACTACTCTCCCCAGAATAAACGTACGCAGCGGGGATCTTTTGGCCAGCAATCGCCTTCCAGCTGGCGCGGCTCTCATTCTAGCCCATCTCAGCAGCCTCGCAGACTAGTCTTCCGCCCCGAAGAGATTGTGAACCAATCGGCCTTTTTGGAGCAACTTAGCTTCCAGGTCGTCTCAGGTTCAGAGATAGAGCGAGCCGAGATTTCTGAGAAAGAAGCGTTCCGAATGAGAATTGAGAGTATCATCAGGGATGTGATAACACAGCATGAGCAAACACTCGCCCAGCGATGGGACTTTCCATCTCCCTCAGTTGAGCTCAAATGTTTTGGCAGTCTTGCCTCCGGATTCGCAACTAAGGCGTCGGATATGGATTTGGCTCTTCTCTCTCCGTGCTCGCGGATTCCGCCAGATGCCAAAGAGTCCCCTATTCCTCGCCTCATTGAGAAAGCGCTTCTCGATGCTGGATTGGGTGCCCGGCTACTGAGTCGCACCCGTGTGCCTATCATCAAGCTCTGTGAAAAACCTTCGCAGCAATTGTATGATGACTTATCTGCGTACCGCAAAGCCTGGGAGGATGGACTTCATGATCTCCACGACGGACAAGAGGAGGATGAAGTAGAGCCCGAGACACCCGGCAATCCAGCGACAGAGGAACATGAAGAACCGGTCGCAGAGTCTCCCAGAGGAGACAATGCCATCTTAAAATCTGACGAGTTCGAGATTCCCTCTCCTCAGGGTGGAGAGCCGCAGCGATTTTACCTCAGGCAGGGACCTAAAGCCAGCATCTCGGCGTACTCAGCTCTTGCAAAGCTTGTGTTACGCAAGGCTGGCGGGCGTGACGTCCGTGGAGCAACCTCGTATAATTTCTCCGACCACGAATGGGACGTTTTGAGCAGGGTCTGTGCAGCTTTTGTGCGTGGTCTTTCTGACTCGGAGCTGCGACAAAGACTCCAAAGTTATCCATCTCTTCAATTCAAATCTGGGAACAATCAGCCGGACCGACATTCGATGAAGGCAGTATCGTGTCAGATTGAGGGAGAGCAGTTTCTGCTTGACCTCAATCGCCTCTGCGAGAAATCCGGGGTTGATATTCGCCAATTCCAGACCGACCAGACAATGATGGCCTGGTCAGAGTTACAGTACCGAACTGACTATGGTGTCGACCCTGTGCAATACACCAGGGAGGTCCAGAATGCTTTAGAGAGACTGAGAAAAGTCCCCTTCAGCCGGATTATTCTGCTGGAGCAGGGGCCCGGTGAAACACCCACATCGTATCACATTCGGGCTGCCATTGCCCTTCATGAACTCGTAAAGGAACCCGGTCCAGACGCTAAAAGCCTCGAAAGGGCCACAGTTGGGCACTACATTTCAGGTATCTCGACGCATGAGCTTCGGCTCGCTCTCGAGGCCGAATATGAGGGAGCGTCACAAAAATGGAGTCTTGATACAGTTTCCCGCAGGCACAAGGCCCTCACCCTGGCTCGCGAATTTGCCAGGACTCTGGAGAAGAGTGTTTTTAAATCGGAAAATGTTCCCGATATCCAAGAGTATATCAAGATACTTCGGACACCGCCACAAATCACAGCTGATGGTCACATTGAGGATCCCGTCACACCAGAGATATCAGCATTGGTATCCCGGGTGAGAGCCGTGACGGACCCGTACGCATTAACTCGTAATCAGCAGAATCAAAAGTACAAGGACCAATTAGAGTTTCCAAGCTCTGGATGCGGTGTTCAGTGTGATATCAACTTCTCGGCTCTCCTCGCACTGCAGAACACCATTCTTCTACGCTGTTATTCGCTCACTGACCCGAGGGTGCGACCAATGGTGCTATTTGTGAAGCACTGGGCCAAAATGAGGGGTATCAATTCAGGCTATCGAGGCACTTTGAGCAGCTATGGCTATGTTCTCATGGTGTTACACTATCTTGTCAATGTGGTGCAGCCCTTTGTGTGCCCCAACCTACAACAGCTTGCCCCACCTCCACCACCTGGTATATCACCAGCCGATATCGAGAAAAACACTACACTTTGCGGTTACCGTGTTAATTTCTGGCGCAATGAAGAAGAAATTATGCACTTGGCTTCCCTGAATCAGCTGAACAGGAATACTGAGTCAATCGGCAGCCTCTTGCGAGGTTTCTTTGAATATTATGCCCAGAACAACTTCCTTAGCAACAGACAAGGCAAAGGTTTTGACTGGGGACGAGACGTTCTCAGTATTCGTACCCCTGGGGGACTCGTTTCGAAACAGGAAAAGGGATGGACTGGGGCCAAGACAATCTACGAGCCACAGGGCGACGCCGCCCAGCCTACAGAGCTGAAGTCGCCTCAGCCCGCAACAGATACCGATACCCAATCAGCAAAGCCCCGTGGAAAGGCCGGAGACTTCAAGGAGGTCCGCCTTCGGTATCTCTTTGCCATTGAAGACCCGTTTGAACTCGATCATAATGTTGCTCGGACCGTCACACATAACGGCATCGTCTCCATTCGTGATGAGTTCCGGCGGGCGTGGCGGATAATCAAGCAATCCGGATGCGGGGCAATCAATGAAGACCTCTTGCAGAACTGCCAAGATGAGCAGCAGCAGCCGCAACAGCAGCAATCACCCGAGGGGGCTACAGTTTCACTTTCAGACGTCATGCTTGACATCCATGGTCCTGGAATATTTGAAGATCAAAAGTGAATTAAAAAATAGTTGTTTCCCATGTTTGTGGGCAATTTGAATGACGAAGAGAGTTTGGGCGTGTTATGAAATGATGGTTTATGAAGGATATGGCTGATGTCAGGGATTCGTGTGTATTTCGGGATGTTACGAATGGCCTCTATGTCTAGGATCGCCGGCAGCCGTCTTAGCTGCCAAATCATATCTATACCTTAATTCTATCTTCTTTCATTCTTCATCCGCAAGCAAGCTGAAAATGCTTCCTCCTGCCCCGACCTTTGGTGCTGCAAACCGTTTTGTCGGTGGACCGTTACCTTTGTTCTCCTTCTTCCTCTTCATTCGTGCCTTCTTATCTTTGGCTTTTCTAACAGGGATATCAACAAAATTTCGCAGTAAATCCAAAATCTCGAGTGCTAGCTTTTGTTGTAACAGTTCCTCCGTTCGTTTCACTGATGGAAAGTCTGTAAATCCAGGAAGGGGTTTGAGAGCCTCATGGAGCTCCCTTGCTTCTGCTGGCAAATGAATCCACGCACCATACGGCACAAGCGATAGGATCTGCTTTAGTATTCTGAAAGAGTATAAGGAAGCCTGTAAATGAGCCGTAATGTGGATAGTGTCCCAAGGAATTTTAGGATTGGAGGCAGGCTTGGAGGTAGGCTTGGCATTTTCTGACGATTGTGTCAAGATCTGGAGAACATGTGATTGCTTCTCTTGTTCCTGGCATTCTTTTATATTCAACGCCATGCAGAGAAGTGTCCAGCAGGAGATGCCGTCAACCCCATCGACGAGGTCTTTCGTCCGCTGCAAAGTCTGCAGAAGGCTTTGAAGTAGCTCTATGGCTTCTTTCTGAGGAAACATGCTGACTTCTCTGCCCTTGTGGCCCACGTTCTGGACCCTTCGATACTCGTGAACTGTTGAGTTGGAGCCTGGGACTAGCCATCTGTATATGGAGTATGCGAGCTGTCGAATAGGAGTACATGGTTCCCAGGCGCTCCCTCGCAGGGGGTTCTCTATCAACACGGGAAGGAATATCCGGCTTTCTGAGCTTAAAGCAGCCGGTATTTCCTCTGTAGGGTTTCCAAGTTGCAGAACCAGTTCTGATATTCTTGGGTCGAGGTTGCGCAATTGCACAGTCTCTCCTTGAGCCGTGACGGGCAAGTTGGCCAGCTCATGCTGCAAATATTGCTGGCAGAACTTGTTATACTCGGCCTCGTCAGGGATCGGGGAGGAGCAATTTTGAACAAGCTGAGAGATGCTGGCATGTGGATCACGATAGACCTCATATCCAAACCTGCAGATGTTTCCACCTGAGGGCTTCAGACCCAGCCTCTCGCATATCCTCTTTGAATCATAGACAATGCATTTCCAGGTATCCGTGGCACTCGCGTGGATGTCACGGAAGAAGACGACTCTCCCTTGACCGAGATCATGGACCAGCAAGTCCGAGTCGGAGGTTAGGACAATCCCTCCATGCGTGGCAAGGTGCTGGGCACAGAAGGCATCTGCCTCACCTGGCACGAGACTTACAAGGTGACGGTACCTGGGGCATTGGTCAAGTGCATCGATGATGGCGGGGACAAGGAAGCTCGGTGGCACAAGCTGTTTGTGGGTGCTTGGCTGTTTGGTTGTGAAGAGGTCAAGATTGTCTTCGGCTGTGCCACATAAGTTTTTGATGTCGCAGCCTTTGGGGGAGTTGTTGCAGAATTGCATGAGCTGGATAAAGAGCTTTGCCGACCTGTCCATACGGACATCTCGTTTTCCAATAGGCAGATAGGCGTCAAAATAGATGGCATCACTGGGAAGAAGCTATCAGTCCAACGTACGCAAAGTTGCTACTTCTAATCTGACTTTAAATCGACTGGCTGTTCTTACATTTGCTCAACCTGCAGAGCTAGAGTATCGAGCCATTGGATTACAGACCGGCCTAGAAGATCATACGAGGGCTGAGATATTCCATTAGATCTACAAATGGAGAGAATAGTATAGGCCAGCGCCGGGCCATCAATGACGACATGTTGATCTGTGAAAACCCCAGACACGCCGTATGGCTGTAGGGTAGCCGTGAGGCCTGAGATGCCCATCGTGATGGCACGGGCCTGGAGTTGGTGGGGGTCAGAGTTTCCCGGACCCCCGGACGAGGCGGTTCGTGCTTTGTGATACAATTAGGGAACGGAGAGATAGGGAATGAACTGCATGATGGCGCAAATGATTCTCAGATTGGTGGTACAGTCGATCCCAAGCGATACTCTAAGCGAAGAAGGCCTGTGTTCGCTGTGGGCGCTTGCCCTGGACTCACCGGCCCGCTGAGAAATTTCTGACCAGCGGCCGATAAGCTGCTTCCCGGTTACTTCCCCACTGACGCCATTGGATGCGCCCGCTTGTCTTTCCGATGCACAGTGCTCAGACTGTGCAGCCACGCCAAGTGCATGCAAACGAATGAGATATCAGTGCTGCACACGGTGTCATTATTGGGAAAGCACTGTATCAGCCCGGCTCCACCCCCCAGCCATCAACCGTGGTTATTGGCAGGAGCAAGGGACCTCGAAGAAAAATAATAAAGCTTTGCTCCATCCCTCCACGACTTCGCCTTTCTTCCTCTTCTCTGCACCGCACCACTCTTCCCCTCGACCAAGTCTTTGCCCTCTTGTCGTGGGTTAATTGACGGCGAGCCGAAGTTATCATGCGCAACACTCTCATCTTTGCCGGGAACTCGGTTCCCGTTCTCACTGGCCAAATCTGCGAGAACCTGGGCATGCAGCCTGGCGAGGCTGAGCTGACCCAATTCGCAAATGTGAGCTTCCAACGTCGCTTTGCCCCTGCTGCTGCCGATTCTCCTTGTACCTGAGCCTTGTTGATTTCCGTCGCTTTGCTTGCGCGACAAAGATTGGCTGACTTGGCTCCGTGTGAAGGGCGAGACCAGTGTCAGGATCCTGACCAGCGTCCGTGAGAAGGACGTTTTCGTCGTCCAGTCCGGCAGCTCTAGGATCAACGACTCAATCATGGAGCTTCTGATCATGATCAGTGCCTGCAAGGGCGGCTCCGCGAACAAAGTGACAGGTTAGACCTCTTCCTAAATCGACCATTGCCGTCGCTGAATCAAGCTCACAACTTGATTAGCTGTCCTACCCTACTTCCCCTACAGCCGGCAATCGAAGAAGAAGGCGCACCGTGGCGCAATCACTGCGCGCATGCTGGCCAATCTTCTCGGGGTGGCTGGCGTTAAGCACGTCATCACCGTCGACCTTCATGCCTCACAAATGCAGGGCTTCTTCCGATGCCCGGTTGATAACCTCCACGCCGAGCCCATCATCGCCAAATGGATCCGCCGAAATGTGGATAATTGGAGAGATGCTGTGGTTGTTTCCAAGAATGCAGGCGGTACCAAGCGAGTAACATCTTTGGCCGATGCCCTCAAGCTGAATTTTGGCATGGTCACAACGGATCGGAAACGGTCCAACCTGTCAAACAGCCTGATCCTGCCGCACTTTGATGCTGCTGGATATCACAGGCCACAGGAAACTGAAGCCGCCGGTAGCAGCCTCTCAAAGACCAATAAGGATGAGGATGAGCTTGCCGAAGAGCCTACGACTCCCGTCAAGGCTTCGACCCCTACCTCTCGTGTGATCGCCGACTCCAATGGCTCACCGACACAACTTGGTGGTCTTGGCATTCCAATTAAGCGCAACGACAACCATTCATCCTTGTCTCTGGCGGAGCGAGAATCTTCCAATGGTACTCCATCTTCATTCGATGACAGACGCCCAAGCGAGGTGATTCACACTCGCTTGGTCCAGGGTCACGTTGTCGATGATGACTTCCCTTCTCCAGAGCGATCGACGGCGGCCAATAGCGTCTATGACGACGATGCCATGACATCGTCTGTGTATGCACCTGGAGGGCAGTCACTGGGTGGATCTGGTGATGCAGCTCATAGCTCAGACGATGAGGACAGCCATCTCGAAGATCCTCAGTTCGAGCATATGATTACTCTCGTGGGCGATGTTCGAGGTCGAACAGTGTTCATTGTCGATGATATGATCGACAAGCCAGCATCTTGGATCGCTGCCGCCGAGACTGTCGTGAAGAGAGGTGGTGCCAAGAAGGTGTACTGCATTGCAACACACGGTGTCTTTGGCGATGACTGCCTGGAGCAACTTCAGGCATGCGAATATATTAACAAGATTGTAGTCACCAACAGTTTCCCCATCAACGAGCAGAGGGCTAGGTTCACCAACAAGCTTGTGATCCTAGACCTGTCGTTTATGCTGTCTGAAGCCATTCGCCGCAACCACTTCGGAGAGTCGCTCTCGCCTCTCTTCCAGCACTACTCTGACTAGCCGCCTGGCCTGTCGAGGAATATATGCTACTGCTGCTGTGCTCAAGATAGCCTTTGCTATCTCATCCAACCATTTGATACAATATTTGATTTTGATATTTGCTACTAGCGTGGCGTTAGGCGAGTGGAAACAGGACGGGAAGTTGAACAAAACAAGCCCGAGCAAGAATGTATGCAAAAACTCCCTTGAGGTAGGAGACTTCGAATGACATCGAAAAGTCCTGTCTTCTGTTGATTCGTCCCTCTTTCCGGTGTGACATGCTTTGTGGTTACGTTGTGATGTGTTGATGACCTTGGTCTCACTGTGTTTTCTCTTACCCAGCGGTTGCTGTCCTTGTGATGGCCAGGATTCAATTCAACCCAGAATGGATTCTGAACGGAACGTTGGTATATTAAGTTTTATCGATCTTAGAAGGCTCCTGACTCCGGTCTTCTTGACTGCTGCCTTCGGGTGTATGGGTTGGGAGCAAGAGAAATTTTCGAACATCTCTGTGGAAAAGTGTGCTTGGTTTTTAGTATTGGTATCAATTTAATATTATTTTCTCGTACTCGATTATATCCTCCGGTTGCCTTCAAACTGCTTGACTAATATATGCTTGTCTATTCTACATATTCACGGTGAATCGACCTAAGTTTTATGCTTCCTTGCGGTGCATAAGTGTAGCAGATGCCTATAGAGTCCTGT